AGAGAGAGCTGCTGTTTAGGATGAGCTTACATGCGAAAAAAAGGGCGCACGGAAGATATGCAGAGACGTCAACGTGCCTAAGAGAATGTCGTTCGATGATCATCGAAGATTGTTTTGTTACAACAAAAGCTACACAATTATTGCGCAATTGATTATCTGAGTGATTGAATTAAACGAAAACACCATGCAGCTTATTTGGTGATCGCTCTACTGATGGACTTCAATGTAGGGTGGATCTGTTAGACACGAAAATCTACACTGACAGAAACTAACGTAACCACAAGGGCCCCGGATCCAGCAGCGGAGCTGTGAAATCTCTAGACACAAGAGGTCATGTGACGGGACAAGCTACACTTGCAAACGGTTCAAGTGCGAAGCTGCTTGTAACGGCGTATCAATGCTTACGCGTAATTTTTTTCGTACGCAGTCGCTGGGCTAGCAGCCGTCAAAGTTTGTGTCTTTAAGCGATGTGTCATGCTGATGTCCGAGCGGTCGGCAAAGACCTGAATGAACCTTGAGGATAACGTGACGATGTTTATGACGTTACCTTATGCTGCGCGTGCTATCCGCACCGCTTATTAGTTAATTACTAATGATATAATAATGATTCCGTGGCAGGGAGCACAATACGTAACACGAAAGAGACCCAAGAAGCAAAGAAAGTGCTGTAGCAAGTGTATGAACCGAAAAAAAGCGGCGTACACGCTACGTAACGATAAATAATGAATCTGCAAAGCGAGGCCACGAAAACACGAACGCGGTGGATAGGTAGAGACCTAGACGTGTAGCGGAGTACACTGACAATAGACAGAGACAAAAAGCGGAAAAAGACGGAGTGAAGAAGTAACAAGACCGAACGAAAAGACGACTTTGCGATGGTGGTATCAGAGAAATGCAAGCGTGTAGTTGCTGCTTTGTTACTGAATTCCCTGGCAAAGGGAATCGTGCACGAGCGAACCCACTCTTGCATCATACATTCTCTCTGCCACGGAATGTAAGACACCATTGGGACGCACACAAAATGCGCCAAATACTCCTGAATATATATTAACACCAGTAATAACAATAATTTAACACCAAGGAATAATAATAGTAATAATGATAGTACTGCAGTTACTGTGGTAACGTTTGTAGAAAAAAAGTCCCAACATCCTTGTCTGATCAACATCGCCGTTGTCTCTCGTCGTGGGTGTCGATTCGGGATGAATTGCTGGAAGATGCACACCGAAACACCCATCGGATGATCTGATGGCTCGTTTCCGCACACCGCTTTGACATATTGTTGGAACGTGTTTTTTCTGGGGCGAGACACGATTCAGACGGACGGATAGGCAGTCCGGCGCGGTCCCATAGTTCGCCCAGACGTGGATACGCGCGAAACGCAAATACAACAGAGATGAAATTCAAATAGAAAACGGTAGAATCGAAAGCCACTACCTACTCGCCGGTGGCCATAGGATTAACCGAACTTCCTAAGAAGAACTGTTACTTTGGTTGCCTTTGTTACCTGAGTCGTGGGGTTCCAACGATACATAACAACCTATCACGTTGTTATAGCCACCGAATGGGTAGCCAGGCCTAGCACGATGATCAATGTCCGTCCCGTTGCCGTTGCCTCTAATTACAACACAGGGTAAGAATGCTAAGGAACGGAATTTCGAATTGGATGAAGGCGGTTACGGATATGGGAACTATTTAGGGCCAGAAAAGATGTCCTCTGTTTCTTGTTCGGTCCATTCTTGATGCGTTCAGAGGCACAAAAAGACTTGACACAAGAATAACAAACGTAGCAATGAGCGGCTGCATCGAAGACAGAACAAAAGAGCGGCGATGGGAGACTGAAAAATGAGCGCCAGGCAAAAAGCCATTACACAGATAGAGAGACAGATGTGAGTCCTTCAATGACTTCATGTGAATAGAGGTAAACAGGGCGAAATGAACTAAGCGAAGAGGAGACCGCGATGAGGATACTGCACTACCAATACTAATGATGATGACTATATAAAAGATATTCAAGGCAATGCCATTAAACATCAGTTATGATGTCGAAAATCATGAAGACGATTACGATAATGATATAGATTGTAGCAATGATAATGACAAGCGAAAGACAAGATATAGTGGAAAGAGTAATGAAAGGTATCGGCATTATATGCTAACTGATAGTTACCACGATGGCGATTATTAAGAATAACAATAACTATTATTATTATTGCACACTAGACCTTCCTGCTGCTGATGAGGTCTAATCTGTCGTCTCCACAAGATATCTAAGCAAATAAGTACGGAAAGAGGAAGGGAAGAAGAAGAACGTGGGAAAATTGAAAAGCAAGCGAGTAATTCACAGAGGGAGAGGGAGAGGGAGAGAGATGTCGAGCAAGATACTTGAATTAATTACTGAAGACGACGACGACGACGACGATGATGATGATGATGATAATAATAATAATAATAATAATAATAATAATAATAATAATAATAATAATAATAATAATAATAATAATAATAATATAAATTAAACTGATAAGAAACAACTGCTAATGGCGGTGATGATGCTGATGCACCTACTGCTGATAATAACGACGACGACGACGATGATGATGATGATGATGATGAAATGATGAGAACGGATGATGATGTAATAAATAAATAATAAATATGGTAAATTTTAAATATTACAACTTCCTCTAACTCTGCATTCGAGGATATTATTATAAACAATTAATTATATAGCGCTTTGGATAGATGTATTCAAACTAATAATAAAGTTGTAAAACGGTAAAAGCGAAAAATTGTAACTGCTGCAACATTTTTTCAATATTGTGAGCAATAAAAAGTCGGTATAATTCCCATAGAAAAATGAAATTGATTGTTGATTGATTTAATTAACGTTAATTAATTATTAAAATGATTAACTTTTTTCTGTCTACTACTGCGGTTCTACTGCTATTCAATTAATAATTATGGTAGTATGATTATTATTATTATGGAAAAAGGAATTGAAGAGCTGCATCCTAAATGTGTGGTTGATTGTTAGCGTTTTTTTTTCTAGAACGCAGACAAACAGCATTATTAATAGGTGGTCGAAAAGTTTATTCATGACAATTGGACTTCTGAATGCGACAATCGTTTGTTGCATGGTCACGTATGTGACTCGTTTCCGTTTGTCAGACGAAACGCTACTGCGGTATGGCAGAGACACAGTGATCGTTTTAGACTGATGTGCTGCAATTTTGCTTCTGTTGCTCGCGAAAAGCACAAAGAGATACAGAGCAACATTGTTGTAAATCTTCTTCCTTCAAATTTCCTCTCGGATTTTCAGATTTTATAGGAGCACATCGACAGCAGTGACTAGAACCCCTAAAGTTTTGAATAATTGTAAGTATTTAATCATAATCTCGTAAGGTTTTTACTAACAGTGCGTCATTTACAAGTAAAGGTAAAGTAGAAGTAAAGTAAACTACAAAAACAAAGGCTCGAAACTGAAGCGTGTCGAGATGTGTGCTGTAAACACAGAACGGTCATACGTGGTACTACGGAGTGTGCAGACTTCCCTGAAGTAGTTCCGGTGGCAGAGAAAGAAGCCACGGCTTACTAACAACGCTTTTGTAAATGAACTGACCGACTAGACAAGTGAATAAATTCAGCCCGAATGTCGAAATGTATATCCTTGAGTGTTACAAGAACCGATTAATTATCCTAGCAGACGTATACAATATTATATTATGTATAATAACGTGATGACTCGAAAAAATACACAAAATTGAGAACAGTATATATATATATCCTGTAAAGTACGAATTAGGCTTTCGCAAGCAACCTCTCTACAGCATTCAGTTCCATCTCACATAGTAAATGTAAAGTCTATGACGTGACTATATGCGGAAGACCATAAACTACAGCCATATAAAATCAAATATATATTTTCTGCGGTTCCTTTTTTTCACCTACATTTTTCCTATCGCATAAATGTTTTTTCATGAAAAATATCTTTTTATTTGGCTAGACCATACAAGGTAACGTAATATACGCCCGTGGTACGTACAGGGTAATAAAATTGTTAAGTGTTTAAAAATGTTAGCTTCATTTTAATGATACTATGATGCTAGCTACTTTAAGCAAAGTAGCTTAATCTAGATTATGAAGAGAAACAGGAAGGATAATTGAAACGCCATGGAAAAACGGCAGAAACATTTAAAATCACTGGACCTGCCGTTTCAGTCTTAGACGCTATAGCTGCTTAGGGCTTTCGCACACCTTTTCCGCCGATGGCAGTCAACCGCAGGGGTTGCCCTCATAGTACTTCAGCCCGAAAAATTGTAGTGATTTTTCTATAGCTTGCAACTGTGATGTTTTCCATTAATTTTTTTGTTCCTAATAATTTTCATAGGAAATTTATACCTTTATCATTAATTCAACATTCCTCTAACGTTTGCAGTTTACTTGATGACGAATGTTTCTTACCGTTCGAAATGTGTTTCTTGACGCAGAAGTACATAGCCTAGGCCAGGTTCCGCTATGTCCTGAAATTGCGCATAGCTGACAGACACTATCATGCTGATTTATATTAGCCCGTTAGAAGTACCTTAGTAGAGAAAAGAGACGCCGTCGTTATCCTGCGATATCGACGATATCGTGTACGCAAGCAACAAATTTGATCGAGGTTTATTATAATTTATCTTACGAACAGATGAATGGGGTTGATAAAACAACTGTTACAGAGCTTAGTTCAACACTTTGCTATTCGCAAACAGGTGGCTTTTCAATAATAAAAAGGAGCGAGTAAAGAAAAAGATGTTTGATATAGAGCCGGAGAGCAGCTTGACAAGTAGTAAAATCGGAAGAAGTATGTTAAAGAGCTCTTTTCTGTTTTGATTTTTAAAATTTTGTTTTTTTTTTATCGAAAATTAACAATGCTTCCAAACACACTTGAGAACGAAAACAGCTCTTTATTGTTCACAGTTTCACAGTTCTAAAACTATTCATATTTATGCTTTTTAGTAAGAATGGTCCCTCGATAATTAGATATTTACTAGCTTTTTATTCACGTGCTGCGCGTAATTCCGATTTATGGTATAACGTGCCACGATCGTATAGCTCAGTGAAGTAAATCTAATAAAACAAAGCACGGGGTTCACTGCTCACTACCCCACAAAAGGTTTACTTGTCATCTGGGTCTACAACCCACAGACTCGTCAACTTTCATAAATATACAGAACCAGATGTACATAATTTCCGATATGTACAGTGGGTTATAACAATTAAGTTCCTCGTCTCGCGGCAAGCCTATCGCGCGAGTTCTTGTTCCCTTTTCTATCGGGTGTAATTAGATTTATTCGACACCGCAGTTAGTGCAAATTATTTTCTGAAATCGAATTTTTTTTTTAACAAAACGAACTGGTAACAACAAGGAGACAACACTGTCAATGCTAATCACTGCAAACTGCTCACAGTCGACCTTTAATGCCTATAATACGGGCCATAGTAAAATTTGTCCAACAGAGAATTTGTTATAAACAAGAAATCTTGAGGCAAATCAATGTATCTTCATCGCTTTACAGTCCTACCGTACAAGATATTTATTGGCCTTCTTAATAAACTTCCCACTAACACCCAGAGACTCTTTACTCACACCCATTATACGTGAATGCACCATACCCCACCTAATGTTACTATCGTCATTAAATGTTTTGTACAGAGTACCCGACATCTCAAAAGCTTCATTGCAAGCGCCAGTTCCATATGCCAATTGTTGTACTGGCTTTTTGCTACCCTAGAGCCCTAGTTACTCTTTGCCTGTCACAAAACGTAAACAAATTCTCCGCTCACGATATACTAACACGCGTCAGTTGAGCAGCACGAGCAGGTCATGGTTAATTGGTCGCTCTGTTCACCAGATGTCAAGTTGACGCGTGACAGCAACGTGAAGTTACAAATCTTCCAACAGAAATGAATGTCAGACGTGTTGATGATTGATGCTGCTACTGCTGCTGCTGCTACCACCGCCACAGCTGCTGTGTCGACGACTGTTGCGTGGATTCCGATTGCGTAACTGTGGGCAATAGCTTTTCGTGTGCGCTTTGTCACCTCCACCGTTATTGCATATGGGGCAATTGTACGAACGCAGCACGGGACATACGACTCTGCCGGATAAGTCACGAAGAGTATGACTCCTACGTAACGGCCAGTGTGGAAAAAGCACCAATTCGCTCATTAGCTCTGTTGTCTATGCTAGATTATACCTTTTATAGCCCCGCTCAGTCACTAGCGAGTTTCAAGCTGACATCATTGATGCTTTTTTGGGTGAACTTGAAAAGAAAATGCCGTAATCTCAATTCGCACACTAAGCTAGATCCTATGCAAGACACAATGAAAAAAAGAGGCGGCAGTAGGTGTTAGGTGTCGTTGTATCAGAGTATAATTAATTAAACTGCGTTTGAGTTTTTGGTCTTTTTTCAATTGTCCAAACGCTGGTTTCGATAACAGCCGGCTAATACAAATTATCGGTCGAAATATGCACAAAAAACTTTGTACAGATAAAATTAGTCGCAAGGAAACCTAAACTCTCACCTGTAAACATCTTCGGGCTCCCGATTATTCTGACAGAACTGGCAGTAGTTCCAAACAACCACTCGTTGTCGATTCGAAGTCTGGTATATAGCCGGTACATCAAGTCCTCTTACATTTGTTGAGGTACTGCTGCCATTTTCCCCTCCCTCGGGACCCGCTGGCACCGGATGTTGCCGGACGCTCTCCGTTCTGTTGCCCGATTGCTGATCAACTTGTGTTTGGTGCGCAGCTTTTTGGGAAGTGGCCGACTGCATTTGCAGACACTGATGTGCTTGCTGGCAGAAATCAACAGGTTCTCCGGATGTACAAGCCACGTCTGTCGGCATCATCTGATGAGACATTGGAATTAGCCCCGTCTGGCACATCGGCAATTGCATATACACCAAGGGCTGCGCTCCATACATTAGCTGGCCTGTGGTAAATCCAGCTGCTGCAGATGCTGGTATGCTGTGGCCTGAAACGCTATACAGAGACTGCTGTGTAAAACAGTGCAAAGGCGGTACAGCTGGATAGATTTGCTGGCAGTAATTTACTGATGGCTCTCGGATTGATTCAGTGGGTCCAATAACGTGCGCAGGAGGAAATGAGATTTGGGTCGATACCCCGCCATTGGTCTCCTGTTGATAGTCAACTAATGCTTTTTCCTTGTCTAGGGGAATGCTCGACTTGCCGCAGGTTTCCAGGGAAAGATTTAGTAACTTGGACGGTGCGTGCTGGTCTTCGTATTGTTGAGGGTGTGTTTTCATACTTCTGCTGCTGTAGAACTAGTTCCGGCTATTGTAATATTGGGACAAATTCCGTTTCGCATTGAAGTGGACTCAAGGGAGATAATCACTGGAACCAGATGCATTATTTACTGTAGGTATTCGCTAAGCAATTTTATATACGGCGAGTTATGTTTAGCATGATTGAAACACATTTAGCTGAGTAAATTAGTAGAAATATAAATTAAAATATTTAATGGCTTTATAAGTGGACGGTAGTAAACTACAAGCCAGTCCTAATGCTATGACACACACAGAACGATAGCATTATTTTACTAGCCGGTGTAAAGAAGCTGTCGATACGAGATTTACACACTTTAATTGATTCGTCCATCAAGTTAAAGTTGCTTCAAATGTCAATTTGCTTTTACTTATGCTTAAACCCATCTGCGGCCTGGGCTGTCCAATCTCGGACCATTCGACTCATTCTGACTGGAACATACACCGTACCTTAGGATTGTTTAGAAGTAGCCATGCTACCCTATTGTTTAGTATAATGTCATGGATGCTTTCGAACACTCAAGTCTGACACCGTATTGAATTTGATATTACAGAGGGTAATTTTCAGGAAGTCGCTGGTTCCTGCGATTAAAGAGGACATCTTGATTATTGATTGAGAGTATACCTTATCAAACGCATTTGTGCAGTATCGGTGTTAAATCAGAAAACTATTTTAGAACAGAGTATGACGCTATCAAATCAGAATCGAGCATTATAGTCCAAGTAGGTTCCGTTAATAGGTCGTAAGGTCACTTTGAAGGTTAACAGGAGCTGCAACAAGAAAAAAATCGTTACTTTTGCTACTATAATACAATACTCTTTTGACTGCTATCATGTATTTATAACACTACTTGTCGAAAACTAACATCAGCCTTATATCGAGACACTCTACGACATTGGAGAAGTAATGCACGAATTGATCTACTGATGCGCGCCTATTGGGTGGCGTTATACTATCTGGTGCGTGGTATTTTTTGATAGGTTCACTCTTCTGCTCCATGCCTGAAACTTCAACAACATTGATGACTAATAACGCTTTAAAGGCAGGCAGTGTATACTCTCGCCAAGTTCTACCTTTACCTCTTAATGCTAACTGCACCCGACTTGCATCCTCCTTGTCTCTTATGGCGACACTGTGTCCTTATCCCGCATAATTCAAATATTGCGATTTCTTTTCGTGCGCTCAACCTGGGCCGAATTTATGAGAGCATAAAGATTGTCGCCTCTTTCTTACTTACGTGATAGAGTGTTCCTAAGGCCAACCGTGTTCAACAACGAGTTTCCTTGTCTATGCAATGCCTCACCCCAGAACGAAGAACAATTTTGCTGTGCTGGATACAGACGCCAAAGGACCGCTGGTAGGAGCCCTTAAGCAGACAACAGGTAAATCGGTTCGCCATATTGGATCACAACGAATTTTCAGCCAGAATTATAACGACGTGCACACGCATTTCGGGTGCATGTTTGCAAACTGGACGTACAATCAAAGCATTTTATACGAACATGTTTTTCCACAATGAATTGGTGGCTGTGGCTCATGTCGGTGGAAACCGACGATTTTTTTACGCTCTGATTTCTACTACCGTTCAAGATATATTTGGTAAGAACCTATATTTTAAGACATAAGAGAAGGTGGAAGCGCATTTAAAACAGTGGCATCTGAATACTATAGTATACATAACAGCCCACATTCGTTTTTGCTTTTGCTGTTTTCGTATATAATAGGAATTCTATGATAGATAGACATATTCCTTATCATTCTTTCACGAATGCGTGCATGAAGTTGAAAGTGAACTTATGAATGAAAATGTGATAACTTGGGTTTTCTTGGCCATAGGGTCACTCTTTTTCATGAACGCGTATTCAAGAGGCCACCTTTGCATTGTCGTTGTGCAACTATAATGAAGCCATTTATAGTGGAAAAAAATATATACATATATGCCTGTACTAGTATATTGATTTATTTACTTGCCGCTACTCATTTATGATTTGACGATTATATAGATGCTATAAGTTCGATATATATATATGTATATAAGGTTGGAATATTAATAAAAGCGGCTTTTTATTGTTTCACTTTTCCTGTTTGTTTATTTCATATCAATGATATATAATCATTGACCGTATATAGAGAGGAAAACTGAAATAGTTGCTTGAAGGAATCTGCTAAGTTCAAAGATGATATCTTTGAGTTAAACGGTGTACTGCACCCCGGTCGGCCATTCGAAAAGGCAAGAAAGATCTCAGATGGCAAAAAACTAGTTAATTGGACGCGAAGATAGGCCGCGACCATTTGACCATTGTTAGGCACCTTGAATACATGGAGTTTCTATCAGAAGTTACTAGCCCCGACGCCCCATAATCTAGCTTATTAAACATGGTCTCTCATTTGCTGTCGACGTTTTACGCCGCGCTGAGCAGCGCGTAGCCACAATGATGGGTCTTCACATGAAATAATTACGCGCGTTAAGCGGTGGTGTTACCAAAATAATATGATGCAATGACACGAATGGGTAGTCTCAAAACATACGTTTACGCGCAGTGTTGAACCAGATATCCATTCCAAAAAAATCATGCTTCGCGTTTGATAGGATTAAAAGGGTCCTATATACGGGAAAATTTTTCTAGAAGACATGACATTCAACTGGAATCTGTATCAAGGCAAAGTAATCTTTCTTCACAAAAACCAGGCCTTAGGTAGCAAGTGTCGTTAAAGTCGCCGTGTAAGAACTTGAACAAGAAGTTCTTTTGCACTCGCCATATTCTTCATGCTTCATACCGACGGCTTACGACCTTTTTCAATCATTGGCAAAGGAAATTAGTGACCGTACATTTGACCTTAAATAGAATCTAAAAATCTAGCTGGGCGAGTCCTTTAATGCTACACCTGGAAATTTACCGCGAGACAGAATAATTAGATGGCTGAAGGTCGTATAGGGTGCAAGCGAATACATAGTAAAGTCATTACTAGGATATGAGTGAAAAATAGCATCTTTAATACCTTATATATGTATACATATATACGGAACCTTTTCGGTTTTCTTGACAATCTATCTGATCATAAGAAACCTAAGTACTATAAAAAAAAGAAAGATGACTAAAGGAAATTGTAAGCATAGGAAGGGGTCGGGTTTTCCGTGCAAAATGGTAAAAATAAGTAATTTCTATCGATCTCTTCTTACATTTATTTGCTGAACTTTTCCCGTGGCGCTTTCGAGAATCTGACAAAATATCTCCAAGAAATTGCAACACAAGCATTCTAGAGAAAGCGGCTAAAGAAAAGCAAACGTAGGCGAGAATAAGAGCTTCCGTAAATAAGAGCCAAAGTCAATTCTAGAATTATGAAAGCGATATTCGCGCTCAAACAGTCCATAAATATTTTTAATATGATATTATTTTGCAACGATAACTGACTGACTTAAAGGCTTTAAAGGTTCACCTGCTAGCCTATTGGAGGCAACCGAAACAGAACTTAATTTTGAATATTTATCAAAACATCAAACTTTGTCATCTACAGAGGACAGTCCCCGTTAATATTTTATACACATGGTTCTATTAGGAATTATAGTAATATAGAAGAATCTATTGCAATTTAGTTAGTGCTTATAGAGAAAAAATAATAAAAGTCAACTTGTGACAAATGGATGATAAACAATTGGCAGCTATACTCGTCATATTCCCATGATAATATCATACATGTTTTAACAGTCAACCCTTTTATAGCAGAGAATACTATATCATTCAATAGCTGCTGAACGCGCGAAATTCAAATTGACAATGAGCATTCCTGAGACCTTTCTTTTTCTCCCGTTTCAAAATTGATTCCGCACCGGAATAATCATAAGCGACACGATACCATCCGCTGTGGCCGAACTCCTCAGCTACATTATTAACAGAATGACTATTGACGACAGTAGCGTATCGTTGTGAAGCTGCGATGAATTCCGTAAGTGAAAACTGCCTGTCCTGAAAGAATATGGAATCAATTGTAATGTGACAAATCTATGTGTAGCATACGCCTATGCGAGGTAGAGAATCGGGAAGTCATTCGGCGTTTTATGAGATGCTCGGTTATACCATATACGATAATGGTGTTCAACTAGAACGATATTTGTTTACACCCATTCGACCCCATCAGAAAATTTAGTATCTGGAAACGCATGCGCTGATGTGATTTTCATGAACAAATCTCGATTCTATCTACTTTTGTTCAGTAACAGTTTATCATAAATTGTATATATAGGTTATAGATAGATAGCCATGTGAAAACTTTGCTGTTCATCCTTTGGAACTGAGTAGTTGTGATAAAAATGTACTAGATAAATTTCCATTCATACACATTCACCTTCATACAAACATATCAAAATCCTTTATCAACAGGTTTTTGGCTCAGGGAGATGAAACGTCTCTAGCAACTTCGTGTATTGCCTGGCGAAGTTGAGCTACAAATAGCCAAAAGCCAGGTCACAAGCTACCCATTTTTATTTTGACGCGTCATTTGGACCGTTGTTCGGGTAATATCACCCGCCAAAGCAGCTCAATTTGGAACAAGCACAGGGTTACACATTTCTATTTTGAGCCATCTAGTTAATCGTATTTGTAAGATAAATTATTAAAAATTGGTATTTTCGTTAATTTTTTCGTCAGTCGATAAGATGGAGACAGACGCGTTTGACCAAGTGCAACTACGTAGCGAATGCTCTGGTGGCATTATAAATAGAAGTTTTTTGAAAAATTACTGAGGCACTGCTGACGATCGAACGCAGAAATTCATAGTTGTGAATTAATTTTCCCTACCTATCTCGTCACGGTTTACATTGGTAGTTACAAGAGATGCTCTCCCGCATTTTGCAAAGCGTTCAGCTAATTATGTTTTGATATAAACTATCCTGTGGAACAGCCTTATTTACAGGCGCGCTTTACAGGGCTGCTTTGTTCGAACCTACCTTGGGTTTGGCTTTCCATTTTCTGCCCATCTTAGAATTAATACAGTAGTTTATATACATTTGGCTGATATAATACATGACGTATTGCTTGCGCCATCAAATGCACATCATTGCGCCAAATAGATAATATAGTGCTCCGAAATCCGCTTAAAAACACAATGTAACGCTGGACTATTTTCCTTAGTAGATTGTACGTATGCTTCACAAAGTGGGTTGCGCCTATACATGCAAATGCATCCCCTTTTAAACAACCTCCAATTGACTCGTTGAATTTAAATCTTTGTCATGAAATTTCTACCTATGGGCAATTCGTAACTCGCTAGTCATCCCTACGATGAGTCGTACCGTGTCTAGGTAACACGACAATGTGGGCTCTTTGTGGGAATCAAATCAAATGGCGGACGCTTGTCGTGCAAAACGATGCTCGTTGTCGAGGCGTGTTCTTGATAGAGGCGAGGAGAATGACTTGGTTGGCTGCTGTATTTGCTGGGAATAAGTATTAACTGATCTGTAACTTGAAGCGTTACCTCTCACTCACCTATGGCAGACCCGAAGGGAGAGTAAAAGAGCTGCTGGTTCCACCAGGATGTATGTCGTCGCCTCGCCTCCAACCGACCGGCCGAGCGACCGACCGAGCGACCGAGCGACCGACCGACTGACTGACTGACTGACGTGTCTCGACTTGACAATACCCCCTGATGAACTATACATTTGCTCGCTGGTTCATTCGGATTAGTATGTACTGCAAGCAGGTGCCACCTTCAGTGCTCAGAGGGGTATGCAAGAGGTTGAGCCAACTCCTCCTTGGTCTGAATGATGCCCTGATTGCGACGTCTCCCATCTGTGCACCAACAGGTAGGGCGTCGATGGCTAAGCGAAACAGGCGTGGCTCTTTCCTTTTTGGCCGCGTACGTGTACATCGAAGGAAGCAGCTAGCAGATGCGCGTAAAGAGAAACGCTACGCAAACAGAGCGAGCGCCTTCCCGGCGGTTGAGCCTATTCGGAATCACTTGTACAAATGGCGCAACGTCCCGGGAAAATCGGCAGATATGTATTTTAACATAGTGAGGCAACCCGATTGGAGGGTTTCATTATGAATGAAATAAAAAATAATTGTAACAGATGGTAAACAAAACAGTATAAAAAACACATTTTGCTTGTTTTTTGACGCCTTAAACGTTGACTGAGTTGTAGATTCAGAATATGGATCTTACCAGAAAAATTCAAGCAAAATTTTCAAAATTTTATCTA